ACAGAGAGAGACAGAGAAGAGATATAGTTTCTTGTGAGAGTGGCAACAGAAAATTGCTGGATACGTCGACGTAGAATGACATTTCGGTTCTTTATTCGAGCGAACAAAGTTGAAATCGTCGGTCATACGAAGGTAACAACTTCAGCCAGACACTGATGCAATGAGGACTTGTTCATTAAGGAGAGGCAGAATGATGATGTTGCTCTTCTTACAGTAGACGTGTGTAGGTGCCTTGGTATAGGATTGGGGGGGGGGGGCAGAGAAAATTAGAGATGGCGGTTTTTGGCTTTACCTATACAATGTAGTATGGAACTTGGTGTGATAGCGATATTTTTCGCATTGGTTGTGCAGTCTACAGCCTGTAAATTAGCTTTTGGTTAACTTCTTCAGTGTGTATATCGCTTTTTTATTGAAACAATTTAGTCTGTTGCACACACCATGGCTTTTTTGCTGATATGCATTGTTGATTTATTCGTTAAACGTAAACTAGATTTCTATAGTTTTAATATGGTATGACACTTGAACAATTGTTAAAAAATGTAAAGTAAATCAACATCGTATATTGGTGACAGTCACCAAATGTCAAGCAGAAAGCAGGTAGCTACAGAGCTCTGATTAAGGCCCTACTTTTTTCTCTCTGTAGTTTTTGACTTTGTGTTTTATTTTTACCCAATGCAGTACAATAGATTTAAAGCGCATGGTGTTAGCATCTACTTTTGTACTGCATTGGGTAAGAATAAAACACAAAGTCAAAAACTACAAAGAGAAAAAGTAGGACCAAATTTACCCAAACTAATACTCAAAAATTAACATAAGAGTCCATCCAGTGTAGTCGTCGCAAGCAGGATTTCATTCCACTATGGAAATGGTTAATTTAGATACCCCTTGTTCTATTTGTCTCCCCTGATATACGATGTTGGACCTGACCTGATGGGACAGAGGGCTCAGAACAATAGGCTGAGAGCCGAGTTTTTCCACACGAGCTGCAACTGTGAAGATAATGCTTTCGTAACGGTGTTATATTTTGGTTTCAAACCTCAAACGGGTGCTTAAGGGGCCTACAATAAAACTGCATCTTCATAATTTCACCACGAATATTGCTCGTCAGATCTTATAAAATCGCTCCCAAAATCTTGTATTTTTTGCGCAACCGAACTGAACCTGTCTAAAAGCGAATAAGCTCGGTTGGCCTTTAGGCGCACATTGAACGCAGAATTTATTGTCTAACCGAGACTATCAAACAGAGGCACTTTACCTTTGGGAAATAAGATACAAGCGATTTTCAAACTTAATAACTTTTAGTTTTATGAAACACTACTTTTTAGGGCCTGGGAGCCACATTATATGGTCGAGTCATTAGATAGAAGAGTCTTTCTATACTGAGGCCCTATCTAAACATACTACTGTAGCACAAAATTATCAAGACTTGTTTTCTTCAAAAATATTTTTATGCGGCAGAGATATCTCATTTTCAGTTATCGTGCGTAACTCTGGTAACACTTGACCTTAACACAATCTCGCCTGCGAATACTCTTTGGGTCCTGTTTGAGTTTGAGCATTTCTGCACATTGACCTGTTGTAAGAGTTAGGTAGATTTTAAAAAAAAACCTCTATAAAAATATCTGGGCATGCTTACAATTAAAACAATCTAATCACGCTTTATCCTTGTTTATAGAATTAATAATAATAAAAATAAGAAGAAGGAGAGGAAGAAGAAGAAGAAGAAGAAGAAGAAGAAGAAGAAGAAGAAGAAGAAGAAGAAATGATAATGATAATAATAAGAATAATATTAATCATAATGTAATAATAATATTGTTATTATTACTATAATTAATAATAACAGTAATAATAATAATGATAATAGTAATAGTTATTATTATCATTATTTTTAATGAAAGCTATAACAATTAAACTAGTACATTGCCACTACATGGCGGCTTATATGAAGCACATCTTGTCACAAAAACAGACTAGAAACGCATTACACTTGCAGTTCACTATAAGTAGTGTTGACCTTATAAAAGCAGCATGAGAGAGAGAGAGAGAGAGAGAGAGAGAGAGAGAGAGAGAGAGAGAGAGAGAGAGAGAGAGAGAGAGAGAGAGAGAGAGAGAGAGAAAGGGAGAGAGGGAGAGAGGGAGAGAGAGAGAGAGAGAGAGAGAGAGAGAGAGAGAGAGAGAGAGAGAGAGAGAGAGAGAGAGAGAGAGAGGGGGGGGGGGAGGTGTCATGCAGACAGGAAGGCAGAAAGCGACCAAAGAAAATAAAATGTTTGAAGATATTAAACGTTTATTAATGAGAGGGAAACAACCCTGCTTAATGTCCTGAATAAGACACATTAAGGTTGCTTACCATGTATCGACAGTTGCTGTCTTGGGGCGGGTGTGATCACGAAGCTGTTCCGACATAATAAAAATAATAATAAATAATAAATAGATATTTGTATAGCACATATCCCCGCTCAACAGCAGGCTCTTTGCACTTTACACTATATTATTACCCCAGCAGACCATAGAACACTCCGAAACATTCTCAGCTTCCCGGGAAGCATACTGTACAAGCAGCTGATTAAGCGCTCAAACACTCACTAACAAACTGACAAGATCTTTTGCTGTCTATAGCCGGGTACCCATTCCCACCTGGGTGAAGTGAGGAAAATTCGTGTAAAGTGCCTTTCCCAAGGACACAACATCGGGCCCCTGACGGGATTCGAACCCACGAATTTACAGTTGCGAGTCCGAGAGCCTAACCATTGGGCCACCGACGACACATGGGGCTTGTTTATTTAATAGTTGCGACATCGTTGCCCGGCATATTGATAAACAGTCGTAGTTGAATAGTTGAATAATATATATGTATATTACAACACTGTCTCAAACCTAAACCTTTGGCAATATTCAGCTCTACCTATCCATACTTACTTTGTTGAGTTACTTTGTCAAGGATCAGTATGCTCAACATCGTTGATTTTGAAACAATAATATGAAAAGAGCAAGGGATTCATCAACGGAAAGACAGATCAACAGACTAACTCTGTTAAACTAACTAAAGGGAAGTTTGGTAGATAGACGGTCAGTTTTTTTTCTTGTACCGAAACTTGGGATTGGGGGGGGGGGGGGGGGGGCGGGGGTAATTCCTTGACAAGAACAATCAGAAATGATATAGTCGTGTTGCTTGTTGCTTTCGCTTTGTCTTTAGTTGTTTTACTTTGGGGCGTTTTATTATTTGTAAGGGAAGGGGTCTCCACTAGAAACTTGTGCATACTGATGTGTTACAGGGAAGTCAATCTCTCTTAGCTAGAGGCTGATGATATTGATTTCGTTATGCTATTGGTTTGTTTGTTTTGGTAGTGTTTTACGGCGCTCGCAACTGCAAAATGTCATAATAATATGAGCGTGCGGGACACATTAAAGTTTATCAGTAGGTAGGAAATTTTGAATTTAGCACGGTTGGCGGCCAAAGCCTACTCTTATCGATTATAGACCACCACAGGATCTGTAACGTGCGCAACTTGCACACAGGACTTCCTAGATTTTTCGCCCTTGTCCGAGAAGGCTAGGTGTAGATCTTTTCTACCAGAAGATCAGGGGTGTGGCTGAAAGAGTGCTATTGGTTGAAGTCTTCCACTATGAAAATAATGTAACCAGGTTCTAATAATGATCCAAACTAAGACCACGCATCCATCCCATCCCCTATGATAGATCTTTGATTCTGAGGCAAACGTGTCCTAGCCATCATGAAAAATACTGTGAGAACTCCATATTCCTGAGTCAGCAAACTTGGACCTGTCACGGTACATTTTTCTATGAATATTCCCCAGCATCCCTTACAAAGAGGTTGTCGAGTTTGTTTCTCCCTGTACAAGAGTACTCTGTACAGGTATTACACTTTTACAAAGCAGGAAAAGTATGTCACAATTGTAGGAACCTCATTGACCTTATACTACCATATTGAAATAAAAATACAAGCAAAAATACCCATGCAAAATATATACAAAAATAAAAAACCACTCAGTGCAATATGCAAATTACAGCTTTAATGTCCAGTTCAGATTATTTATATCACAGTTCAACTTTGGTCTGTTGTCATTACCACAGTGTACATTTTTCAAGTCCACTGAGCAACACACACAATAATAGGTAAACATCACAAAATTACAAGACCAGGCAAGTAAATATAATAATAAAGTAACATTTAAAAAAAACAAAAAACGAAAGGGCATTTTCAAACAGATCTTTCTCATTATAGCTGTTGAGAGTTTGTACTCATATAATGTGTGAGGCACAATAGTGGTGAAATCAGGCGCTTGTCAAAATAATGAAATGAAAGAAATCAATTTTCTGGCCGTTGGGCTATTTATTTTTTTATTTTCTTATTTTTTGGGCTCAACATTTTTAATGTCCTTTTAAAGACATACTTCTGTGTGAATTTTACTGAAAAACGTTGACCAAAGTCACACAAAAAAAAAAATATTTGCAGTTTCCAAGGACATTCAAGCTTTGTAAGTCACCAAACTTTGGCAGCCGTTTTCACACTTATTTTATCTTTGACACCAAACAACCCCAACCTCCTTTAATCGCAAATATCTCGACTTGCATTAGATATAGAAGGGTACTTTTTTATCAAAAGCAAGACAACTGAACAAGTTTTAATATGATACCATTAACTCCAAATGCCCCAAAATTTACGAGCACCTGATTCCACCGAGCTATGACATATTTTCTTCATCTCTTCTTTCATAAATCCTGCTTTTAAATTGAACTGTGTTTGTCAAATTAAATTAACCCCCCCCCCCCACAAAAGAAAAAGACTATACAGTACTAAACTAAATTTTAATGCTACTGCTTTGATCAAGAAAGATATATATTTATCATTTTTTAAGCTCTAGACTTAAATCCTGGCCTAATCTTAAAAGATTGCATCTCATTAAAAACATTATAAGGCCATCATTCCAAATACAGCAATTAATTTCTCATTAACAAAAACATTTCTTTAATTGTTTTGCTTTCAACACGCAATTATCAATTACTCTGACAAACTAGAAAGAGAGCTTGACATGGTTCACTGCAAGGCAAAATAAGATATGGTTGTGAGAGTTTATATGACAGGGGCAATAAAAACACACTGGAAGACATGCTATGAAACATGTGACAATAATGGATATGAGTATGAGCGACTATTTCAACCTATAAACTTTTTAGATTAAATACCTCACACAATTCAGATCATTTGATTTAAGAAACTGAGAAAAAAAACCCAATAAGGTCAACAATAATATGACAGTAATTCACAGAATGTGAAGAACATTAACAGTACAGGCCCTTTCAAAGTACAAAGGTGCTGACAAAAGAGTACTAGCATAATAGAAAAGAAGGTTCTTAAACTTAGCCCTGTTATCAGAAAATGATAAATATAAGTCAATACTGAAAGAATGTAAAGTAAATTGCCATAATACCACAGTGCAGATCATAATTACATAGTTTGACAGCACGACAGAGGTAATGCGGAACATAATATTATGTTCATAAATATCATTATAAAGTGCAGTACACAAAAAGCACACATTATGTTTATTGCCTAAATGAGGGAATCAAAGGCATTAACTTGATCGATTTCAAAGGAGAAAGGACTAAAAATGCAAAGGGGAACTGAGTTCCCATACATGGAATAGCCACCAGTAACACTCGTCTCGTGTTGAGCATCAAGACCCATTACCATCTAAAAAAATGGTGACCTCAGTGTTACTTGTAAACACATACCCTGCAGAGGGCAAAGCTTGTAGCTTCATTTGCCGGGATGAACTTCCATGAAGCTCATGTATTTGCCTTAAAGAAAGCAAGACAACATCAAGCCTAATGTGTACAGATAAAACAAGCAGGGGTGAGCAGTTGAGTCTGAAAACCAAGTCCTGGAAAGGAAATAGGTCAGCTGTAGTGCTGAAAAAAAACCTATAATTATTCCTGCGTAGACTAAAATGAAACAGTTAAGTAGGAGTAAGCAGAATTCTTGGATGAAAAATATGTTATTCAGAAGCACCAAACTTTACACTTTTCTCAAATGAAGATTGAAGACCGAAGAAATAAGTACAGAGTATTATACCAAAAACACAAGGAATTCACTGCATTTCCAAATACGCTTAATAATTAGAAAACAGTTTACATAAAATAGTCACCATCTTATTGAGACAACTTCTTCAAGAAAGGCAACTAACATGAGACTGAACAACTACATATTATTTGCCACCTCATCGATAATGCTTTTTTTTTAGAAAAAAAAAGGAAATTCCAGTACAGGAAGACTGACCTGACTGATACAATAGGCTCAGTCTTTTTAAGTACCCATATTAAGTAGAAAACACATTTATGGTCATAAATGAGTGGTTACATGTTGATCAAATGTGTTTATATAATGAACTTGATTAAAAGCTATGACTAATTTTTACATTTTGATTTTTTAAGACTATATTTGAAGTGGCAGGGAAAATTCATGCTTAATTGAATAATCCATAGAGTTCTGATTATGGGCCACAAAAATGTCAATAATGCTGCACATACACAAAACAACTTTAACATTTGAGTACTTCAACAAGCTTTGACTAAGTAATGTTGATTGAGTGGAGTATGGACACACAAGTGAGGTAAGAATGGAAGAAAAAATATTTTATTAGGTTACATTTAATCACTTCAAACTCTAAGGAGATAACTGCTTTGCTTTGTATTCATGTCTAGTACACTGAGAACAGAACAATTTTACCATTTTAAAATTTAAGTGTCGTGACACACGATTTAAAATGTCAAATGTATAAAGAAAGGAGGAAAGAGACATCCTGCTTCTTATTTTCACACTTGGAATCTTCCTCGGTCTAGATCACTTGTCGGATACCAACTTTGTGTAAATCTGTACAATTTAACCAGCAGTTACCAAGTTTAGTTCTAACAGTTTTCTAAATTGCAGGCACATAAATTGTTTTACTCCATATTTCATTTCAGGCACAAGGTTATAGCACTTAAAGATATCCACCTTATTTAGAGTTCTCATTCAAGTATATGATATACAAACAAAAGAAACACTTTATATATAATAACTATTCTACACTCATTGCATCACAATGTTTGAAAAAATATTTTCTCCAGCTGTCTCATCCTGGTCTCATTTGGCAGAGGAATTTGACCTGAAACAATAATAATAATAAAAAAAAAAAAGCAGGGGTGGCCATTACACAGATGTCAAAAATATAACATGCTACAAAAAATCAATACACTTGAGCAAACTACAAGAAACAAGTGTATCATGTCACAATTTCATCAGCCCCTTCTTTCCTTAACCAAAACTAACACAGCAATGTCAGCAGTCACATTGAGAAAGCCATCACTTTCACACACTCATAAAAATGCTTGTCCTGGCCTTAACATCATACACAAACTGTAAAAAATGTTACTTTGATTTTTGTAAACCCGAGGATAGCCGGTCGTAGCTGGTCGTAGCTCTCGTGTCATCAACTGTTTCTACTTCTTCTTCATTGTGACTATTCCCAAATCTTATTCCTGGGAAAACGAGGTTGATATGAAAAGAGACAGTTTAATACAACAACACACAGTACAGCCAGATTACTCACTTGACTGAGTGGAATGCTGATGTGCTGCTTTGATAGACAGGAGGGCTCAGTAGGGTCTGTGGAGGAGGTTTAGAAGGGGGGCTCCCTACACTCTGATCAGGGTCTTCTCTGCAGAAAAAAAATCAGGAATAGAAGAACTCAAAACAGTTGATTTCATTTTTGTAAAAGCTGAAAACAACACATGTGTAGAATCAAGTGCTTGTCAATTTTATGACATATGGAGTTACTGGTATCAACTTAAAACTTGTTCATTTGTCTTGCTTTTAATGAAAGTAGTACCCATCTATCTTGAATTGAAGTTGAGGTGTATGAGATTGACGGAGTTAGGGGTCGCCTGTTTTCAGAGGTAAAATAAACGCCAAAAAAAGGGCAACCAAAGTTCCGTAACCTCCATAGCTTGAGAGTCCTTGGAAACATTTTTTGTGCCTTTAATCAACTAGGTCTATATCAGTACAATCCACATGAAATGTGTTTTAAAATGGGCATATAAAGGTTTGAGCAAAAAAAAAACAAACCCCAAAATTGATGAAAATTGCCAAACCGTTGAAAAAATGCTTTTCTTCGATTTCATAGTTTTGACGAAGGCCTGATTTCATCACGATGCGTCACATATATGTAAGCGACACTGTCAAATCCTACATATTTTCCTCCTTCCAGTTCTGTCCATCTAGCTATTTTACTTTGTCCTTGCACTACATGACAGTCATAATTTCAATGTGCTTCTCTTTACTCAAACTCAAAATAAACAGAAAGGGCATTTATGATATAGAGCAATCAGTGGTTAGAGGGTTTGAGTGAAGTCAAAAATGTTTCTGATTGTTCTCAGGTCTGCTTTGGTAATAATAGTTGTAAAGGGCATTTATGGACTCAAGTTGATCTTCCAACTTACTTCAGGGGAACAAATACATCAGATTTGCGCTGGTCGGCCATAGAAGATAAGACACCATCTGTCACTTCATCCAGCTGAAACATTCACAAGAGATAACTGATATAGCTCACTCTCTAACAACACTGATGCATAATATGAAAGAGACAAGAACAGGCTTTTCAAAAAGATCCTTAGAACACACATTATTTTCAGGAAGAGCATTGCTTTTAATTCTGATTAACTCAGCAAAACATGGAGAACTTTTTTCGAGGTAATAAATAAATATTATGGAATTTTAGGAATAAGAACATCTACCTGTAAAACATGAGAAGGAACAAAGAGACACCGTGAACAGTGAAAAATAGAAGCAAAGAGCCTGTGGTGCTAAATGTTCACAACTCGTGCTGATCAGTCAATGGTCGTTCAGTTTTCTATAGATCCATAAAATGTTACGTTTCTCCAATGCTGTCATTCAGCTCACATTAAAAGAGCTCAAAGGCATTTGAAGAATGGAGAACTTAAGACTGAGCTCTCTTTCCCAGAGGCTGAAAGTCGAAAAGAAGATCAACAGCAATAAGTTTTCTAATCGGGGACTGATATAAAGGAGCATACATTTTCAACTCATGCATAATTTTTTTTCACATATCATGAATGTGATAACGCATATTTTTTAAATGGTTCAGATTAAACGGATGCATACAGTCACTGAAAGGTAAAAATAAATAATACGAATAAGCCTTCCTTTAAAAAAAATCTTTTGTTCAAAATTCTGTACTCACATGTTCATTGAACTCTCTTTGCATTGCATTGCTGAGTTCTCTCTTCAGGGTGTCGATGTGGCTGCGGTGAGACATGATCTCTTCTTCCAGAGACTTGATCTTACTCACAGCTTGGTGCTGAGCATCCACAAAGCTGCCCACAAGATTCTACTCCACAGAAAGAATAAAAATAGGAATGAGATTTATTATCTTCATCATACTTTCTATTCTGTAGCTGCACACGGTGACAGCAGAAGACAAACACACTTTCAATACAATTAGTGCACAGGTACAAGTAAGATCACTTTCTTGTTCCTCTCTCTCTATCTCTTTATTTCTTTCACTCTCACTCTCACTTGCTCACTCATTCTTCTTGTCTCTCACTCTTGTGATTAGGTTCTATTTTTTTCTGTCACTCTGTTTTCTTTGTCCCTCTTCTTATGCACTAATTGATCATCATCATGTCAATGTACTTCTCTCTACTCAAATAAAACTCTTATTCCTCACTCACATACAAATGCACATACACAAACACTTGTACACACAAGTGCACATAGCTGAAAGTATGCTTAAGAAATCACAAGGAAAAATTATACACACTAAAAAAGAAAGAACTGTATGTTCCAGACTGGCTTGCAATTCCTACTTCTCTTATGTATGAGTACATTCTAATCTGACCCTGAAGGCCAATCAAGCTGACTTCACAGAAACTTAAACTCAACACAACAACCTATATGAACTTCACAGGAAGACTTCTAGAGGTAATACATTTTAATCTGAAGCTGAAACCATTTAACAAATTGACTTTTTAATGCCTTATCGTGTTCTTTACCCAGAAACATTTGAACATAATATGAACATCTGAACCCTACTGAACGATGGGTTTCCTCAAGAAAAAAATGGTTATGAAGTGGATAATAGGTTAACCACGCAAGGAAACAAACACTGGATGTAATAAGTTGCAAGTAACCTTCAGAACCACAAGGCACCAAAAATATCTGTCAAAAAGTTAAGAAAACTACTTACAGCTTGAAAAAATGTTATCAACTCACCTGAACAGCAATGAGGTCCGGTCCTGCTCGCCCAATGTCCTGAGGGATGAGGTCGGCATCAAGGAGTAGACGAGACAAAGACTGGTCA